GCTAAATGACTGTGCTTGTATTTGTAAACATGAAGGAGGTCAGTCTTTTAGTCGATGGTTTCACTTTTATTTAAAGGCCTCCTATTTTACCTCTTTTACAAGACATAAGATCAATCTTTGGTGTCTCCAGAATGTGTCTGCGAAGATTCAGCTGAAAACATCCATCAGATTATGTATTATACAATGCAGAATATGCTCATTTTGTGATCAGAGCAAAGTGTAGCTGTTTTTTGTAGTATGTGCCTTTAAATGCTAATGAGCTGGTTCTCCCTGCCCACCATTCTCACCTATGTGGGTGTCTGTTCTCATTTGTCAGATAAACAGTAGTCGGTGACAGAGACAGACAAGGATGAAGCAGAAATCCAGCTCATTAGTCTATTATGTATTTATGGTGGAGTTTATCCAAATCTTTTGACGAGGAGTCACACACAAATGCCGTTACAAAGTTTGCAGTATACACACACACAAACACACACACACTCACGTTTACTGACACTATATGGCTGTGGTGATTCTAGCACTTATGAGTTACACAGCAATTTTACTGTCTTTATTACAAACGTGCACTGTAAACCTGTAAACTCATTCTTCAGGTGCAGCTGATCACAGGGAGTTGGAACAGATCTTTTAATCCCAGTTTCTTTACAAATCCTGTTCTGTGGAAATATGCCTAACTACAGAGACATGTTAATACACGGCTGTCAATCAATTCAGGGGGTGGGAAAACCACACTCCTAGGTTACATTGAACTATATAAAAAGAATTACTAGCATCTGCAGGCAGAAGCGTAAACCACAGCTAAAAAACTGTTTTGTTTACATTAAATTACAAAGAACAAATTCTGTGGATGGATAAGTAGGTTGAACAACTTCAATGAAGACATGTGGAAGAACACTTCACATGTAAAGACATCTGAGTGTCTGCAAGCGCTTGTGAGATGCTCTTTGAAACAAAACTACCTGTGTTTTACTGAAATCTGACTCACAGGATAAATTATTCATAAGCTGAATGCAGATAAACTCAGCGGTTTATCATGAGTATTTTATATATATACATTTTTTTTTTTTCTAGTATTGTAAATATTTTAGATTAAAAAGGAAAAGCCTTGGGACCTAGGACAGTACTGAGATGTGCTCCATAACAAGGGCATTTTAAATCGAGTATAAAGTGTAACCCAATAGTTTTCCTGTACTTCACACTAAATTAAAGCTACATTTTCTTGATTTTGGTCGCTGGTTCGAGTCTCGGCTGGATCAGTTGGCATTTCTCTGTGGAGTTTGCATGTTCCCCCAGTGTTCACGTGGGTTTTTTCCAGGTGCTCCGGTTTCCCCCACAAGTCCAAAGACATGTAGTACAGGTGAATTGGGTAGGCTAAAATTGTCCAAAGTGTATGAGTGTGAATGAGTTTCTGTTTTTCCAGTGATATGTTGCAGCTGGAAGGGCATCCGTGTCGTAAAACATATGCTGGATAAGTTGAACCCTGGCAACAAAAGTATGTACACCCCTAAGTGAAAATGTGAAATGTCAATATTTTGTGTGGCCATCATCATTTTCCAGTATGGTTTTAATTCTCTTGGGCATGGAGTTGACCAGAGCTTCACAGGTTGCCACTGAAATTCTCTTCCACTCCTCCATCACAACATCATGGAGGTGGTGGACATTTGACACCTTGTGCTCCTCCACCTTCCTTTTCAGAATGCCCCAGAGGTGTTCTATGGGGCTTATGTCAGGAGACATGCTTGGCCAGTCCATCACCTTTTGGCCATACCATCAGCCTCTTTAGCAAGCCAGTGGTCATCCTGGAGGTGTGTTTGGGGTCATTATCATACAGGAACACTGCTCTGCAGTCCAGTTTCCTGAGAGAACTGCTTCAGTATGTCACAGTCCATGTTAGAATTTATGTTTCCCTCAATGAAATGTAGCTCCCCAATGCCAGCAGCAAGTTTGCAAGTTTTCTTGCATCGTCTTTAGAAGAGGTTTCCTTTTAGGACCACAAATCATGCAGACTAATTTGATGTAGTGTGCAGCGTACGATCTGAGCGCTGACAGGCTGACCTCCCATATTTTCAATCTCTGCAGCAATGCTGGAAGCACTCATCTGTCTGTTTTTTTAAAGACAATCTTTGGATGTGATGCTGAGAACGTGCACTCAGCTTCTTTGGCTGACCATGGCGAGGCCTGTTCTGGGAAGAACCTGTCCTCTTAAAGCACTGAATCGTCTGGGCCACTGTGCTACAGCACAGTTCCAGAGTGTTGGCTATCGTTTTATAGACTAGGCCATCTTTATGTAAGGCAACAATTTGTTTTTCAGGTGTCTGAGTTTTGTTTGCAATGTTGAACTTTCAGTGGCCTGGATGAGAAAGTGGAAGAGCTTTTATACCAAATTTAACTCACCTGCTATCTGTGGATACCTGTGACAGTATAACACTTATGAGTTACATGACACAGGGAAAGTAAAATGACTAATTGTGCTCAATTTTGACATTTTCACTTGTGTACTCAATTTTGTTGCCAGGGGTTCAGCTATTATTGGCTGTATTTACAGTTATTTTGAGAGGACAATAAATTTACACTGCTATAAACACTTTACACTGACTACAATTATTGTGTTAAAGAGTCATTTCTGCAGTGTTGTCCTATAAAAATTTATATATGATATATATTATATATGATAGCAGTAGGATTTTTTTTACTAATTTTAATTTATAAATTAAAAATCTGCTGCTATATTTGCACATGGATATATGAAATTATGGATAGACCCTATAGCAGGGTGATGACGCACACACACAACTCATCTGCAAGCTTAGTGATAGTCCATTTTTAAAAGACACGGGATGGTTATCAGGATGTTTGTGCAGCATGCCTCCTTTTAATGAAATTAATTGTTAATTTTTATTTTAAAATACTATGACTTATTGAAATGTGTGTAACGAATAACTGTATTAATGCCTCCCTCACTTGAAATGATTTGTGGTAAAACTTTAGGAAGTGGAAGTATTATAGATTTAACAATATTAAAACTTTCTTTTCAGAAAAGTGTTTAGTAAAGCAACCTAATGCTTGTATGCCATGTCAAAATAAGGGGTGTTTTATTTAAAACTTAAAAGCATAAGAGTTGTTTAACACAGCAAGAAGGTCGCTGGGTCACTGGTTCGAACCTTGGCTCAGTTGGCGTCTCTGTGTGGAGTTTGCATGTTCTCCCTGCCTTCGCGTGGGTTTCCTCTGGGTGCTCCGGTTTCCCCCACAATCCAAAGACATGCAGTACAGGTGAATTAGGGCTAAATTGTCCCTAATGTATGAGTGTGTGTGTGAATGTGTGTGTGGATGTTTCCCAGAGATGGGTTGCGGCTGGAAGGGCATCCGCTGCGTAAAAACTTGCTGGATTATTTGGCGGTTCATTCCTCTGTAGCGAACCTGGATTAATAAAGGGACTAAGCCGACAAGAAAATGAATGATGAATGTTATTTGAAATAAAAAATGAAAAACAAATCATTATGTAAATTATTTTTTTCTGTTTTTTACCATGAAAAAGAAAACAAGCAGTTTTTCATTTATTTTTAAAATTCAAAAATTGTAAATTAAAAAACGCATTGGATTTCAAATTTCGTTTTTTAATTTTAAAACGAAAATGAAAAATGTCTAATTTTTCATTATCTGTTTAAAATGGAAATCCAATGACCAAAAGATACACTGACCTATCATTGTAGGAAGGAGATCACTTGCATGAGGATAATCATATTCGGGTATGGCATCTAAAAAAACGTTAAAAATCACCTGGTGTGGGTGCTTATTTGGAAACATTTGGTCCCCCAGACAACATACTTTCATTCACAAAGGATACAGGATCTCTGCAGCTGCTCTCCCAGCATTTACTAAACCAGCAAACCTCAGCATCTAAAAAAATCAGCCCGTGCTGCTGTGGACCGTTTTTAATGCTCCTTTGCACCAGTTGATTTATGACGCCCACTGTGCAGTATGAGCACATGATTAGTCCTGATTACACGCTTTGGGACAACAGTGTTATCGCATGCAATAAAACGATGCTTGTAACAGCGTGCAGCCACGTCAGGGACACATATGTGTTTAAGCGTGTTATAAAGACAATAGGGTGCTGCAATCTTGAGTGTAGAGCTGCAGTTTTCATCAGCGCGCGCCTACACACTTCACTGCGTTACTGCTGGACGCTAGCTCACGTGCGCTCCACCAAACACACACACACATACACACACACACACACACTTCACAAAAGTCAAACCAAAGTAATTGCATTGACTATTGGACACATGCTATGAATGTGCATGCTAAACATCTCGAATGACCAATGAGCAATAACAGTAGGCCTATTGGTTATTTAAATATCTCGAGGCCAATACTGCACGCAAATATAGATATATAGCAAACATAAATGAATAAATAAATAAAAAAAATAATGAATGATTGAATAAAAAAATCGGAATCTGATGTGCTTTTGGATGCAAGATAATCACCAGCCTATTTATTTATTTATTTTATATATTTGTTTGTTTGTTTTAATGCCAATCAGCAGGACTGGCTATATTATAAATATATAATAATAATAATAATAATAATAACAATAATAATAATTATCATTATTTATTTTAATACATAATGAATAGCGATGGTGATGATAATAATAATAATAGTAATAATAATAATTATTAATAATAATAATAATAATAAAATTATTATAAAATAAAATAAATATAGTATATAAATCACAAACGTAAGTTTCTTGATAAACATCATACAGATGACAACAATACTACTAAAATATATTTCCTTTATAAATAAATAAATAAATAAATAAATAAATAAATACATAAATAAATAAATAAATAAATAAATAAATAAATAAATAAATAAATAAATAAATAAATAAATAAATAAATGTTAAGAATCTTTACTAGACTTGGGTGGAAACGCAGTATTTTAAAGTGTCGGTTCAACATAAAAATAAAAATAAAACATCGACTTACCGTCAGAAGCCTGCGCGTTGTGTAATAAAAGTAAGAATATTGCTAAAGATGAGAGTTTAGCGCTCCGCATCCCTGTGCACGAGCATCCTCTCCTCCAGTCTCCAGAGCGCAGGACGCTGCTGCTCAGTCTGCGCAAATCTCTCCAGATCCCAGCCACGCGAACAGCCATTTGGGTTTGCAGAGGAGGTGGCCCGGTGTCGGTAGTGGACCAGACATCTGCTCAGATCCGCGAGTCAGTGGGACGTGCGGTGGTCACGCCGCTCCAAGTGCCAGAAGAGAGCCGCATTCGTGGAAATGTCCATATAGTCCACCATCACTGCGACAAGGGGGACGCGAGAGAGCTCTGCAGTTTTTGGGGGAGGCCTGGTTTATCTAAAGCTCGCAGTCCTGCTTAACCCTCATAATGAGAGCGGAGGATAGAAGAGATGCATGTAATTCTTTGTCTGTCTTATAAAAAAAAAGTGTTCCCGCATGCGAGCGAGATGTAGTTTTGTGACATGTGCAAGCTCTAGTGGACAACCGAGAGTATTACCGGGTAATAAATCACTTAAAAAGGTAAGAGAGATAGTTCACCCAAAACCGAAAATTCTGTACAGATCTTTTGTTTATTTCACACCTTTATGAATTTATTTCTTCTGTTGAACACAAAATAAAATATTTTGAAAAATGTTGGAAACCTGGAACCGCTGACTTCCACATAACAATGTAAAATATTATATATTATGGTTTACCTAAAACTGAAAATTCAGTAATTTACTGACCCTTTTCTTGTTTCAAACCAATGAATTTCTTTATTTTGTTGAACAAAAAAACAAGGTATTTTGAAAAATGTTGGAAACCTGAAATTGTTGACTTATAACCAGGGGTGGATTTAACCAATAAGCAAGGCAAGCAGCTGCTTAGGGCCCCAGGAAATCTGAGGGCCTCCAAATAAATACCTAGACGTATAAATGATACCTAAAAAAATTATATATAACATTGTTTTGTATAATATTTAATCAATAAGGGTAAATTTTTTTAACATAATTATATGCCTAATTTAAACCCCCACTTTCAATCATGGACCAGTTCATGTTTTACAAGATGCTTTTCATGTTATTAATATTTTACATCATTATAAAAAGTAGAAAAGAAGATTGAATGATATAGGAAAAAATAAACAGAAAAATAATAATGAAAATGTTAAAGTACGAAAGGTGCATTTTAGAACTTTTGGGCGCCATGGCTGGAATTGCTTAGGGCCCCAAAATCACTAAATCTGCCCCTGCATATAACAATGTAAAATAATATGTATTATAACTGAAAATTCAGTCATCATTTACTGACGCTTTACTTGTTTCAAATCCTTATGAGTTTCTTTTTTTTGTTGAACAAAAAAGATATTTTAAAAAATGTTGGAAAACTGTAACCGTTAACTTTCATAGTTTACTGTAAAAAATGCTGGGTTCCATAACTTATTAGTTCACTGAAGAAAAAAAAAAAAAAAATTTCTATAAAATTGTTGCAAACAATTTATCTGGGTTGATTTTAAACAAACAAATTAAATGTAGTAATTTTCAACTTAATTTGTTTATTTAAATACAACCCAAACACATTGTTTACAACCACTTAACTTAAAAACAAAATAGTAAATCCAAGGAATCATCTTTGAATCATTTTTTTAGTACTCTTACAAACTTAAGTGGATTGAACATATAACCATAAAGTTGTTCCCCTAAAAACTCAAGGATTGTGTTGTTTCAACTCATTTTAAATAAGCAGTTTCAACAAACACCAAACATCATTTTTATTTGTTTTTCCTACTAAACTCAAAAAAGAGAGAGATTTCTGCTGATATTTAAATTACTTTACTGAATCAACAAAATTCTTCAGATTTATTTGAAACAACTTCACTGTTTTTATGTTCAATCTACTTCAATTTGTGTGGAACTGTTAATTTTTATTTATTTTTTTACATTATATAAAGCATTTTGAGAGATGTAAACAAACTATGGTCCCTATATATTTTGTGTTTTGCACTTTTAATTTTTAAACCTTCCGAGAATCCAAAAAGAGTCACATATTGATAATTAATGTTATGATAGCTGTTTTAACATTACGTTTTGATTGAATTGCCTCTTACTGTAATGAAATAGTTTGATAACAAGCAGGAAATGTTCATAGGTCAATGACATGACCATTGAAATGGTCTATAGCAGGGGTTCTTAATATCCGTTCTGTGTCCAGCAGATTTTAACTCCAACCCCAACCAGACAATTTAATTTCTGGGTGAACCAACTCTCATAATGAGTTACTAGTTAAGTTGTTTGTATTACTTTTCTAATTACTATGCCTGAAAATAATCAAATTACTTAATATGGAATTTAATTCAATACTTTATTCAGCTACATAAAATCCCAACACAAAACTTTAAAAATGAATCCATTGATTCTTTAAATGAGTGAATAATGGAATTGTATTTTCTAAAATGTCATACTAGCATTTTAATAACAAACAACTTTAGCGAATACAGAATATTACTGTAATGCTGAAAAAAAAAATTAAATATTGTATGTATGAAATGTTTCAAAGCCGCACCGTGCACCATACATCATATTGTCTTTGACTATTAATTCATAAGTCCATAGGTTTCTTTAGCATGTGCACTTGTTTGAAAATTGAAACCTAATTATCATTATTATTATTATTATTATTATTATTATTATTATTATTATTATTATTATTATTATTATTATTATTATTAGCAGCAGCAGCAGCAGCATTAGTATATTATAGTTATCACGTTATTAATAATCCTTCATACTGTTAGTTCAATCCTTCTTTTTAATATTATTCTTTACTTTGGGTTTGTACAATTCATAATTATTATTATAATAATTTTTTTTTAATTCTCATTGTTTTGTTTGCTGCACTTTATTTTTCGACTCCCTTTTCTTCCTTTCCTTTTCTTCCACTCCTCCCCTTCCTTTTCTGTTTTCCGTTCTTTTCCTCTTTCCTCTCCTACTTACTATAATTATTATAATTTATTATTACTACTATTATTATTATTATTTGTCCTCTACATGATTTCCCAACCTCCCTTCACCTCGTCACTTTTATCATTAATGGTATTACTTTTGTTATTATTATCATTATTATTACTGTTTTGACTTGTCCTCCTGTTATCTCCTCATTATCATTATTATAAGTATTTATACCATTGTCATTATTAAGGTTGCTGTAGTTGTAGTAGTAGTAGAAGTAGTAGTAGTAGTAGTAGTATCAATTGTAGATGTGATTATTGAAGTAGTATTAGATGTCGTTGGTGTAGTGGTATCAGAAGTAGTAAAGATGTAGATGTAGATGTTGTAGTAGCAGTGACTGCTGTAGTAGTTTCAGTAGTAGTAGTTGTTGTAGTAGTATTAGTTGTAGCAGATGTTGTAGAAATAGTCATTGTTGTAGTTGTATCAGTAATACTAGACACTGTGGTTGTAGTAGTAGCAGTAGTAGTAGTTGTAATATTAGTAACTTTCTGTAGTAGTAGTTGGTCTAGTACTTGTTATTTATTACTATGGTTGTTGTCAGTTATTATTACTGTTGTCCTTTATTTTTCTGCCATTATTACTATCATACATTACAAGCATTGTTGTTACTCCTTACCACTGACTGGTTTCTTTCTGTTTAATTTATATCTATGATACTTGCTTCATTTATTGACTGTTTTTGTCCCTAATGACATGTCCACCAAGTTACCGTTAAACACGCGCGCTCACACACGCACGCACACCTACCAGTACCTGACTATATTGTTTTTGTTTTTTGTATTTTTGGTTGATGTTTCTTTGTATTTGTATGATCCTATTCTAATCATATTCTAATTATATATATATATATATATATATATATATTAGGGATGTGCGGAGCAGCCGGTATTTGTATTTGTATTTGTATTTGTTGAGGGGGGAAAAGTATTTGTATTTGTATTTGTATTCGAGTAAAATTCAAAATGGCGCAAAAATATATATTTTTTCTATTACACTTCTAATTTACATTATAGTGAAAGTATTGTTTAATTATACCCATTATATAAATTATAGACATGCAATATTGGTTGTTGTTTTTGAACATGTGACAAGAAATGTCATTGAAAAGAAAATAACATAGAAGCCATTATCTCATCCATGGTTAAACCAACAACTAATAAAATACCATTGTGAATATTATGAACCCCACCACCACCGTTCTTGTTGAAGGACACTGAATAGACAGAATAAAAACAAATAATACTTCAAAAAACTGTTCTTCTTCTGAAAGAACTTCTTTCCCATGGACAGAATTCCAAAAACTAAAATTAACTAAATAAATCTAAATAAACCCCTGACTGGGAGATCTGGCAAAACAAAAGTATTCTATATAATACTAAAAGATACAGCCCTGCTATTATCATCTGCCAGCCACAAAAAAGACACAAAGTTTTTTTTTTTTTTTTTTTTTTTTTTTATGTTTGAAACTGACTTGCTGGGGCAGAATGTGGCTGTGTTGATGGTTTGGTGCTTGTGGAGGATTTAGCAGAACATAGCTGTGCTGATTGAGGGGATTGATGCTTGTGGGGGGTTCGCAGACAGTATCAGGAGAGGATGCTTTTAGTGCATGTGATAATACATTACATAGAAGGTTGCGCAGTGGCACAGTGAGTACCACTGTCGCGTCACAGCAAGAAGGTTGCTGGTTCGAGCCATTACTGGGTTCTCCCCATGTTGGTGTGGGTTTCCTCCGGGTGCTCCGGTTTCCCCCACAGTCCAAACACATGCAATACAGGTGAATTGGGTAAGCTAAATTGTCCCTATTGTGTGTGTGTGTGAAAGAGAGTGTATGGATGTTTCTCAGTGCTGGGTAGCAGCTGGAAGGGCAGCCACTGCGTAAATCATATGCTGGATAAATTGGTGGTTCATTCCACTGTGGCAACCCCAGATTGATAAAGGAACTTAGCCGAAAAGAAATGAATGATTATGCATAGATGTTGACAGATGTTTAATATCTCTGCCGATTTCACTTTTGCACACATTATACAGTATCACTTTGTTTTATCTGCAGCACCACTGACTGTAAAATTCTTCCACAAAGAACATGTTTTTTTTTTTTCTTTTGACTGGTGGAGGACCAAGAAATGGCTCAGAAGCAGTCTCACTCTTTTTCTATTCGGGTGCGGGAAGTTTCTATAAAGTGACGGGAAGCTATGCTAAGGTTAACTAGCCTATAGCATATATCTTGCTGTCTGCAAAAGACAGTAATGTAGACGTACCATATAACTCCCATAAGTGCATACTATTCGACACAACTGCAAAAGCATCATTTTAACCTTTATAAACGAACGTTAACGTTACTCTGTCAACAGTCTATTGTCTAAATTACCGCGCTAACAGAGCTAATGTTGCGTAAACAGAGCACCCGGTTGCAAACTTCCCGATCCCGATCAAACTGCGCTACAAGTTTATAAACTGCATCTGGAACCCAATTAAGGTACAAAAATCTATTTAACAAAAAT